GGGGGGGGGGGGGGGGGGGTGTACTCCATAGTCGTGCATGCCGTAGTCGTTTGACCATTGACCTCGCATCCCTACAAAGCCGGGACGGAGCACGCCGGGTTCTCACCGGACCAGGCTCTCACATCACCAAGCGCGAAGCGCCGTGAGGTATTTGGCGAGTCGCATGAAGGGTGAGCTGCATCCTGCTAAGGGTGTTCGGCATCTTGTGCTTACTTCCTTGCGTACGGATGACAGCTACGTATGACTTAATTTATTTTCTGGTGCTTTCACTTCCAGAGACAGTTGTAAGCACTGTGTAACTGCCTCGAGGAAGCTTGACCATTTTAACACAACGTGGTGCGATCATCCCCCGTTGCGCGGAGTGAGGTTTCTCCACCCCGCACAACATGATCTACTCGACCACCATTATGGTTACCGCCAAAAAAAAAAAACCGAGGTAAAAAAAAAACCGGTAACCTGGTTGCCGAGGTCACGAAGTGAATTGGCTTGTTTTACAACGTCGTTGCCAAGCGACGAAAACCCAATCCCGGGGGGAGTGGGGGAGGAAAGGAAGGAAACAACGAGCAGCTGCTGCTGTCGTTGTTTGAGGGGACCATCGGTCACAGAAGGACGAGCGGAGGGGCTGGCAAGTCCCGGTGGAGATGGGCCCTACTCTCAAACAGAAAGCATAAAGGGGCCCAGACACATACATTGCACTAGGTTCCACGAACGAGGCCAAATAGCGACTACCAGCGTCGCTCTCTGCCTGTCTGTCTCCCTCTCTCTCGATACGTGTCTCTGTCTCTGTCTCTCACTCACCCTCTCTGTCTCTGTCTCTGTCTCTGTCTCTCTCTCCCCTTTCTCTTTCTCGATTTCTGTGTCTCTGCCTCTCTGTCCCTATCTGTGGCTGTGACTCTGACCCTGTATATCTGACTGTCTGTCTCTGCCTCTTGCTCTCTCTGTGTCTCAATCTCCCACCCACCCCGTCTGTCTCTATATGCCTTTGTGTCTTTCGCGTCTCGGTCGCTCCCCTCCCTCATCCCTCACCATGGGCTCGCCGGGCCTGAGCTCCACCTTGCCGGGGTCGAGCCGCCACCGACGGCCTCCCGTCACCGCAGCAAGAGCTGATGGTACATGTAGCGCCGGCAATCCGTTCAAATCCGTTGGTCCACGCCCCCCTCCCCCTCCTTGACGATGTCGTTCCTGCGACGAACGGAACGGGACGGAACAGGACGGAACGGGACGGGGCGAGACGGGAAAAGATAAGAAACGTCTCTCGCACCGTTATCGCGTAAGCAATACGCAGTTTGAGGGCATGTCCATTTATCCGCCCCTCTGCTTGCTCGTGCGTCTTGCCCCCGCCCACTCCACCGTCAACCCTCACCTCTTCTCGCGCTTCCGGTCCCATCGTCTCCCCATCCCTGCCGAAACCGCCTCCTCCCATTGAGGTTGGAGGAAACCCAGGGACATCAGTCGCCGGCACTCCCACCCCCTGGGGGTCTCGCAGACTGGCGCCGCCACTTGTCGTCGGGGGGTACTTATCGTTGTTGCTGTTGCCAACGGTGCCCCGGTTCCGACTTGAGCTCACGGTGCCTCCAGCTACGGCGGCGGGCTCGACGGTAACAGTACGGCTCCTCCTGATCGCGTCATCATGGCTGTGCGGCTGAGAGGGTTGGCTCGGGTTGCTCCTGGAGCGCTCCAACCGCCGCCCATCATCATCGCCGTGATCTTCTCTCAGTCCGGCTGAGTACTCCACTACGCTCCGCTCCCTCGCCCTCCCCTCTGCCGGGGCGGCGGGCCACCGCTGCTGCAGCGTTGTCGCCCTCACTCCGGCGGCCTCCGCGGCGGCTTCGCTGACCGCCCCGGCCATAGCCCACCCGCGCTTCCAGAGCCCGCCGACGCTGTTGCCGACGGCGAGGGCAGAAGAGGCCGCCGCGGCGGCGGCTGCCGGGGATCCCTGGGAGTACGAGGACAAGAGCCCGCCTCCTCCCGCCGACCATTGTTGTTGCTGCGGGAGAGCCCTTCTGCCCGCGGCATGAAGACCGTCGCTGTTGTTGGAGGAGGTGAAGAAGTCTGACGGAGGGGCGGGGAAGCTCGCTCGGCGTTTTTCTGGCAACGGGGATTGGTGTCGGGCGCCGCCGTCCGCCGGGTCTGGCGTCATCTCGCGCCTGCTGCGGCGCCGTTGCCGTTGCCGTTGCCGTTGTCATCGCCATTGTTGTTTTGCCCATTTCAACGATAGGACAAAAGAGAATGAAAGGAAGAGGAGGAGGGAGGGTCATCATTTCATTGGTGTACAGGCATGCAGAATAAACTATAATCGAACTGGGCAGGTGGATCGCCACCTTCAAAGCCCGCACACAGGTACAGCGAAGGAACGCCTTCACATCAAGTGCCTCAGGTTCATTTCTTACGGTGGGAATTGCTCTCGTGGCTGGCACCTACTCCAAACGACTTACGTAGTCTAGGAGGCAGTTCGCTAGCTTTTTCGTGGTCTATTTCGAGCAAAACAAATGCATGATCTTCACACAAAAAAATGCAAAAAATGCCTTCCGGCATGCAACTTCCACCGAACGCTAATTTCATTACTAAAGCTCGACCCGCCCTCGAGGCCTTCGCGCAAAAACCCTTGCCTCCAACAAGAGAGAAAACAGCTCCGCGTCATCAAATTTGAGGGGCGCACAACAACAGCTGCGCCAACAAGAAATAGTAGCCCCCCTCGACCCCCGCAGCCGTTCACCTCTCGAAATTCCCCCCGTCGGCCGCGACTGCCGCCGGCGCAGCTGTCGCTGCGGCGGCGTTGCGCACCGACGCGGCCAGGGTCACGCGGCCTTTCGCATCGTCGCGGCAAGGGTGCGGTCCGGCGAAGAGAAGCGACGGGCACTGTCCAAACTCAGAGATCTGCGACTCTAGGGCAGCACGTTCTCGGGGATCGTCGATCGTGTCCAAGTCCACCGTACCCTGAGCAAGCAAAAAAGCGCGAGAAAACAGATAATAGGGGTGGGCGTGTTGTTGTCTTGACACCAAGAACCGTTCCAATCTCCGCTCAGTACAAGATTACTCTGGAATCCGTACCCGTCCAACTGATGGCAGACGCCTTCCGTGGTGGTCACAGGCCAAGGGGCTCACGGGATTAGTAATGAACGGTTTCTCGCCACGGTGACCATGGGCAAAAAGAGACAAAGGAGCAAGGGGATCTACATGGCACTGGAATAACGTCCCGTGCACACACCCAGAGAGGCAAGCATGCGTAGATGAAGTGTAGCCGAACGGATCCCCGAAAACAAATCTGGTATAAAATTTCACCAAGGAAACGTTAAGCGAGACTGTCCGTGTGTGTTGTTTCGAGACATGTCAAAATACTCCAAAGTAAGGGGTTGGGGTTGTTGGGCTCACAGTGCCCCGATGAAGCACATGCAGCAGGTGGAAAATACATAACATGACCCCTGAAAACCAGGCTCATGTCCGCGCGGTTTTTCTCGAGGTTTCGTAGTTGGTGACAATTTTCCCGACAACACCGGATAAGTATGCAGCCAGTTCGACAAATGATCTGATTCAGAAAAACACCTCGGCAACCCCACACCCAAGGTACCTACCTATAACATAGATCAAGATGATTGGTGTTAACTATATAGTTCTAAGTGGCCGTCTCCAGCTGAAGGTACCCAAGCACAGCCGTTGGCCCCGAACCCTGCGCCGAAAAGAAAAACACTTCATGACAAACCCAACACCTCAACAAGCCATGACTACACACCCGTTTAGAGACAACCCCTCAACCGCAACTCCCAAGTTCTCAAGTGGTATGTGTAGCCTTCTGCTCTGGTCTACACGACACCACACCTCATAGGTGAGATGATAAAAAAGGTTGTCAGCCTCGACGGCAGCCTTCCCCCTCTGCAGGTACCCGAACACGAGATCGATCCACAGGTGCAGCCTCCTGGAGACGTGGGGACTCTCCAGCGCCCGCCGCATCTTTCGCACGAAGTCTCTGGGGTTTCTTGCCCATGGAGGTAGCTCCACGTCCCCGACTCGCTGCCCCACCTGCACAGGGTTAATGGCTATAGTTAGCACAAGACACGTCCGGTGGTTCAGGCTTCGTTTCTTGCAGTGGAAAATTCTCTCTTGTGATGACCCACACCTACAAAAAAAAAATCACAATGGCCTAGTCTAGGCAGCTCCGTGATATTCTTCGGGGACCATTTACGTGATGTTCCCATCGCACACAAAAGGCCCTGTGGCGAAAATACAACAACAGGCAACGGGAACAAACTCTCCGCGGGACGCACACCGGAGGAGTGCTCGGCAGTACAAGCTAAACCGCAAGTTTCTCATTGTTCGACCAGGTGCTGCGGTCCAACTACATTCTAGGAAAAGTTGAAAAAAAACACGCACACTTGCATGTACAAGCACTCGAGGGGGTCCGTGGGTGGTATGGCGTTTGTGTATTTGTTTTTGTATGAGCCAACGGATCAACGCGTTCAACGTAAGTTAATGAACATACGAGTTCTCGTGCTTCGTCCACCACTGGTGTCAGGATGTTCAACCCATGGGGAAGGTTCTGGGAAGGTTCTGGGAAGGTTCTGGGATGGTTTTGGGAAGGTCAACAACCATAACAGGACCAACCACAACAACGACGCTAGGCAATAAACTACCATAGTGAAGAAAAAAATTAACATGTCCACCGGCCACAAACAACAACAACGACCACTGCCAACTGCAACGTTTGGCAAAGTACCACCATTATCAATAAGAAAAAACACCACCAACCACAACAATCAACATCGACCACAACAATCAACATCGACCACAACAATCAACATCGATCACAACAACCAACATCGACCACAACAATCAACATCGACCACAACAATCAACATCGACCACAACAATCAACATCGATCACAACAACCAACATCGACCACAACAATCAACATCGACCACAACAATCAACATCGACCACAACAATCAACATCGACCACAACAATCAACATCGACCACAACAATCAACATCGACCACAACAATCAACATCGACCACAACAATCAACATCGACCACAACAATCAACATCGATCACAACAACCAACATCGACCACAACAACCAACAACAACAACGCGGCGGACAGGGGAGGGGCCTCGCCCCGCCACCGCCCCCAGCGCGCTTTCCTCCGCCGTTTGAGTAAACAAAACAAATACCGTCCGGAAGGTCGTGGGTACGCCGCTATTCTCACCTGCGTCACCCCCAGCTGCAGGTCGTCCGCGTTGGTTAGGAACGACCCGTCACCCGCGTAGAACTCAGGAATAAGCTCCTGAAACAACGGCGGCCGTGAACGTTGAGGGGTTGCCGATGAAACCACGCGTCCATGACAGTTTCAGCAAAAGCACCGACACGCGTTACGGGCGCACAACTCGGGCACCAGGGTCCAACGAGAGGGGACGCAGTAGTAGGAAACGGAAGGAATGGGGGGGGGGGGGTTGCACAAGCTATTTACATTGTGACGGCAAGCACGCCTTGACACGACATGTATACGGCATGTATATGAGATTCAAATGAGATGTGAATTGAGATGTGAGTGAGACAGCAACCGAACGTGTTTTAGTTTTCGGATGATCTATTTGTAGTGTTTCGCCCGCATCACCTGTTGGAGTAGGGTAACCAACCTAGCATTTTCCTCCCATTTTCGCCAGAAAAACAATATCAATGTATGTATACATTTTGCTCATTTGATCCTGGACGCTATAAACATACATATCTGTGCAAAGAGGTTTGGTTGTTGCAAGAAACTTGTTTTCGTTAGAGAAAAAATCGAAAGGCCTGTCATGTACCTTTAGGTCTGCGTGGTTGTTGAGCACGGAGTCCCAAGCGCTCTTGACGCTGATGAAGCTCCTGTCTGGGTCGTCGAAGCGCCCATTCTGCAGGCACAGCATCTCTTCAGGGGCTGACCTCACCAGGAAAAACAAGGCGTAGCTGGGACGAAAGGGAGGAGAGGAAAAGGAAGAGGGAGAAGGAGGGAGAGAGGGAGAGGGAGAGGGGGGGGGGGGGGGGTAGAGAAGAGGACATAGAAAGAGAGAGAGAGAGAGACAGAGACAAAGAGACAGAGAGATCCGGTTCAGGAAAGAGCATGTGAAATACACCTGGTTGGAGCAACAGCAACGACGACGACAACGACCAGCAACAACAGCAACAACTACTACATACCACTAAACTACCATATACATATGGCACAAAATGGGGATGGCGACGCATCAACACCCGAAAAAAAAAACAAAAAAAAAAACAGGACCGACATGACAACACAACCAAACTAGACTCACCCAGGAGTGGAATAGTGAGTGCCGTACAGGAAGGGGGGGGGAATCCCCTGTCCAGGGTGCAGGTCGGGGTCCGGCATGTTGCTCATTCGGGTCCGGAAGTACTCCAGCCGCTCATCATTGAGCGCTCCTATTGGTCGGCTCAAATCCCTGAAAGCACAGGCCAGACGAAAAACGAAGATAGCTTATTGCCGGAAAAAAAAAGTAACAGGGGAACGAGAAAAAATGTAGGGCCGCAGCGAGGGGCAAGAAAACAGGTCTTGCGAAAAGACAATCATGTTTGGATGTAACCCAGGTACCTAGCGTGTGTGTACACATGCCTCGGACAACAAACACGTTACCCTTCAAAAACAAACATTAGTTACCACGACCACGAAACAAACTCCTACAAAACCAAACATAAAAAGAGCGCCCCTCGAAATTTAACCGTGCCGTAGCGGTGAAAATTATGAGGGGCAAATAACTTGTTCGAACCAAGGGGAGGGGTAGGTGCACACGCGACTCAAAAGCCACAGTAAAGGCTCAAAACAGCCACGGTTGAAGGCTCAAAACAGCCACGGTTGAAGGCTGACAAAAACAACAACAACAACAACAACAACAACAACAACAACAACAACAATAACAACAACAACAACAACCACAACGACAACAATGTCACGGCCACAAGACAAGACAAACCTGTAGACTCGTTCGTCATCGAGGTTGAGGGTGGCGCTCTCAAAGTCCTGCACCACCCAGGGGAAGACCGGGTACTGTGTAATGTCGTTCACCGTCCTGCCGGCCACCGTGTTAAGGAACACCAGGTAGTCGTAGTTCGACACCTACGACAAAAAAAAAAAAAAACGCATGGTACATAGCCGGCACGTAAAGAACCACGGTGATCTAGAAAAGGGGGCGTCACAGACGGGGCTGGAGGCGATCTCAATATCCCGGGACACACTTTCTCAGTCCATAAGACCCCTCTCGTCCCCACCAATCCGGTACGGAGCATGTCGGGGGCTCCTCTCGTCCCCACTAATCCGGTACGGAGAATGTCGGGGGCTCCGCCGATATGGGAGTGTTGGGGGGGGGGGTCTACGGTGAGGAGGGTGTGAGCGGCCGCCGATTTGTCTTTGATGCCCACATTCTCCTCCTGTGATGTGAGAAATAAATCGATCTTGCCACACTGGAGGACTTGCGGTCGCTCTCCTCTCTATTTACTATTGCTGCTGTGGCGTGCATGTATGTCCAATATTTGAAACTCCATGCCTCTACTTCTTACGTACCTGTCCAGACTGCCAGCGTCTGGTTTCCGCCTCTATGTCCCTCGCCGACTGCGCTCGCGGTCCCACCTGGGGCTGGCTCATTAGTACGTCGAACAACTGCATCACCGCCAGCAGAAGAAAAACACCGGAAAATATGGTTAATGACCGAACACACGATCACAGTCGATGCAACTGCGCCATCATCAGCAGCAAAAAAAAAAAAAGGTGATGAATAAATGACGGGCACCGGTCGATTAAATTGCAGAGGCAGCAGGAAATTTCCTCTTCGACTGTGGCACTTTCTCCAACTGGTAGTGATCGCGTGCGTATTTCCTACTTCAGTAAGACACAAAAGCAATACGCGAAAACCCTCACCTCATCTCTCTGGTGGGGAGACTCGAAGTTGAAGAAAGCCGATCCTCCGTCCCCTTCCATGAAAATTTCCAGCCCGGTTTGTCGCAGCATATGTCTGTCGTTGGGTGCAACACACGCAACCATGAGGGCAAGGGGTCAGGACAAAAGCACCGCACCCTCTGAATCGGTGTTTCAACCATGGCATGTGCTTGTTTAGAACTTGGCCTCGCGTGAAACTCCGATTGAGAGGGACGCAGCGAAGCTGCGATAGTCGTGCAAGCATTTCGCCGCCAGTACTTGTACAAGCATCGCTAGTAGGAGTCAACTCGGCAACAGCCGCAGCAGCAGCAGCAGCAGCAGCAGCAGCAGCAACAACAACAACGACAACATCATCATCGCCGCCTACGCCACCAACAACAACGGCGACCATAGCGCACAAACAACAAATACCACCACCACCCTACGACATCACCATCACCATCACCAACATCAACAAACACAAGAAGATAACAACAGCAGCAACAGCAGCAGCAGCAGCAGGTGTTCACCTTCGCTTAAAGGCACGGAGGACCCCCGCGAGAGGAAATGACGCCACGGGCTCCCCAACGTTGTTCAGCTCTGCCGGCTGAAAGTACACCCTGAAGATTGATTCCGAAGACGCGAAACGAACGAAACCACACCGGCGGGGCAAAAAACAAAAAAACAACAATGCAAGCGCACAAGCGTCGAGTAAGATCTACAGTGAAACGGTCGGTACACAAAACCGCTCAGACAACAGGTATCCTCCTGAAGTGTACGCCGAAACAGGCGCCAACGACCACACAAAAAATATACGTGGGTGCATGCGGTTGGTTTTGAGATCTTCCATACTCGGTGTGGTGCCCGTCGAGTCGCCGAGACCACAACCCTTGTCAGCGTACACATCAGGTTCATCGCCCCGCCTCTCCGCAATCTCCGTTCCACCTCCTCGCAAAGGATTGGTCGCGGGTTCGCGTCGACGAGGTTGCGCCGCAAGCAAGGAACACAAAGCCACAAGTCCCGCCACACCCTTGGGAGGCATGTTTCGTATGTAGAAAAGGAGAGGGGGGCACCCCGAGCACCTCCCTTCGGCATGTTTTAACGGTCGAGCTTCAACATGTTTCACTGTTTACGAAGAGGTTCTTGGTCTTGCTTCCCAAGGCTGCTGCTACGATTGCTTTTAACCAGATTCAGAACTGGTTCGGGGCTGGTTCCGTAATTTGTTTTTTGTTGCGGTTCAGGCTACGCTTCCTATTACAGAAGAACACGGCTGCATGAATCTAGGACACCACCAACACCTAAAACAGCAACAGTAACATAACAGTGGCAGAGTAAACCACACCGATCACATCAAACCAGTGCGGTCGACGACAATAACACCACCACATACAGCGTCGACCTTAACCAACTAAGACATATGGAATGCAAACACACGCACCTGGCATCAGTGACCATGATGCAACCAGGGTTTCTCAGGAGAGGCGTTATTCGGTCCACCCGGACCGGGCAAGGCAGCAGCAGCGTCTCCCTATTTTGTCCGTTTGACAAACCGGATGCATGCACAAGCATAAAAGAAAAAAGACCCATGGAGCAGAACGGGAGGCGATAAGATGCAAGCATATGCTAAAAAAAAAATAGACGAATGAAGCACAACGGGGGGCGATAAGACCATATAGCGATATGACGACATAGCGATCAGACGATAACCGATATGACGACATAGCGATAGGACGATATGGCGACAAGACGATATAGCGACATGACGACATAGCGATAAGACGATATAGCGACATGACAACACAGCGATAATACAATTAAGCGATATGATGACATGGCGATAAGACGATGTCGCGACAAGTGTGTTTGATCCATGGTCCTGTGTCTTTTCGTCCTGTCTATTCTGGGCGTCAGTCTACACCTCGATCGACATGAAAATATGTTTGACGCACCAACCGAGGTCACACTTCACACTACCAGGTACTATTTTATTACGACTTGCTTACGAACGCACACGTTTCGGACTCAACACCAAACCTGAAGTCGACAAGATGGATGGTGTCAAACTTTTCCGTGGAGCCCCTCAGCCTTTCCGCCAGCAAGGGTCGAAGCAGAGGCTCCTCGTATCTGCGCATCGACGGAATATCATCATCATCAGCCCGACAAGCATCTAGGATTTCGACGGTTTCAGTTTCAAAACCCATGGGATGGTACCAAAGTTGTCCTGGCATGCCTGGCTAACAGAGGTCTTCGGTTCGGTGGAACAACACAAATCCAAACCTGTCGGCTAAGATTCGACGGCGGCGCCGAGAGAGAGAGAAAGATAAATCAGACATAGCTGACACTCAAACGATTGGGCAAGAGTGATCTAACAAAAACTCGGCCAATCCTCCTTTGGGTGGGAAAAAAACAACCTGTCGGCTGCAATTTGACAGCACCGTGCGTGCGAGAGAGAAGTGAGACAGAGCTGACCCTCACATGATTGGGCAAGAGTGATCCTCAAATGATTTGGCAATCTTCGCTTGGGTGGGGCAAAAAAAAAGCCCCACCTTTCGGCTACGATTCGATACATAGCGACACCGCAAGAGAGAGAGAAATCAAACAAAGCTGACCTTCAAATGATTGGGTACGAGAAAAGGGTTCAATCCGCAAGTGATCGGGCAACAGCAAATAAAAAGTTTAATCCCCAAATGATGAGGCAAGAGAAAAAAATCACGCCTCACCCATGCCCCCGCTCCTTCACTCGCAGGGCCACCTCCCTCAAACGCCTCGCTTCCCCGAGGAACTCCTCGAGAGGGGTGTGCAGGAGCGAGAACGCGAAGGTCCAGTCGCTCCACTCAACCAAGGTGCCGTAGTCACGAGCTCTCTTCGTCACATAGGGGCCCACCTTTTTTTAGAAAAGGGACGAGCTGGTCATTTTTTGTGAGGAGACTCTTTTCTGACGGAAGAAGCCTACCAGAATATTCTTTTTAAGAAATACCAATAAGGCGGAAACTCCTTCGAAATAGAAAAGCCTGTCGGAAACTCTTTCATCAACCACAACAACGGAGGAAATTCCTTCGGAATAAAAACAAAGCCTGCCCGAAATTTCTTTCAAAACGCACGCAAACACACACACAAAGGCGGAAATTTCTTCAAAAAAAGGAGCAAGGCGGAAACCTCTTCGTAAAACAGCGCCTGTCGGAAACTTCTTTCATCAAACACAACAAAGGCGGAATTTTCTTCGATATTTTTTTAAGGGAAAATTTCCAAGGAATTTCTTCAGAACAGAACATATTTAATTCCCACCTCGTCATGGTGCCGGCTCTCCACGACCTCCGTGCACCGAAACCTAAACCCTTCCCCGTCTCCCGCCCCCGATCCGGACCTCCCCCTCCTCCACCTATCCGCATCGCCCCCCCCCCCACACACAGACTCCATCTGGGTCTCCATGTGGCGGAAGGGGTATTTGACCAGGGGCAGAAGGCGGTCCGCCGGCTCGAAGAGAAGCCCCCTGCTGCAGAGCTTAAGCCTCCCCTGCTGTCGTGGCCTGTTTCCGAGCCCACCGCCATCGTCTATCCCGAACACGTTGTTGTTGTTGTTGTTGTTGTTGTTGTTGTTGTTGCTGTTGGTGGGCGCCCCGCCGCCGGCGCTGCTGCTGCCGCCCCCCCCACCTCCAGCTGCGGCCGAACCCAGGGAAGGGTAGAAGTAGGCGCTGTAGTCCTGGGGGGTTGGGGACAAAAAACAAGCCTCCAAGTAAGGTTGAGATGCTGTTGCCCTATGGCGTGAAGATGTGTGTATGAATAGTAGACACCGGCCAGCTTTTCGCAGCAAAGCGGGGGGAGGGCAGACGAAACAACAAGCAAGGAGGACAGCGATCGCCTGCGGTCTTGAGAGCTACGGTGGAAAAGGTCGTTTTCTGACCCCTTCACTCCCTCTCTCTCTGTGCTTTTCGTGTCTCGACATGACTTGCCCCTCCCCCCCGCCCACCCCCCCCGTGGCTCGCCGGACACCTCACGTATATCAACTGCGAGCGAGTAGCCGGCGAAAGCTCAAGATGCTCCGCTTCTTGGGCTATGAAGGCGAGTTAACCCCACCCCCCCTGTAAACTAAACACCCCGCGTTTGGGCTCTGAAAGGATGTTAGGGCAAAGCTACCACCACACGGCCATGCAGCATCTTGAGACCACCGCCCCCCCCCCCCCCTCCGTGTCCATGTAGTCCCGGAATGCCGGCTATACAAAAAGGAAAGGGAAGGGTACGTGACTGAACTGGGGAAAGTAAAAAAAAAGTACAGGGAAATGTTTGAGGCATGGGATAACCAGGAAAAAACGTTAGCTGTACTGGGGCATAAGAAGTGGGTTGAAAAGGCGGGAAGTGATATTGGTAGGATAGATAGACTAGGGAAGGCATTTTGAGCCACCTTTGGCGAAATAGGAAGGGACGATTGGCCATCGGTGATCGGTCCTGGGGGAAAAATGCTCCTTCCTTTGGGGGAGGGGGGGTCAATGGTCGAACCGCTAAAGCATGCAAAACATAAGAACGCGCCCCCCCCCCCCCCTCATACGCCTTCCCAGCGAGTGTCGGCACTCGACGTATCCTCAATAGGGGCGGCGGGGGCAGGCACCAGAACCGAACGACGCATCATCAGTAGTAGAGAAGACGTAATGATGGACGTTGGGAGTCTCCAACATCGCCATCTTCCCGGAATATCGGGAATATCGGGCGACGCAGAGCTGTGCGGGGGCTGGTGAAAGTGAATACGCCACGGGAGTCATTGCACCGCTTCATAAAAAAGATTGTGACAGGCGATGCCATCGCCTGCACACCATACCAATCAAGATTACCGTCACTTGTTAGGTGGGGTGCCCGTACACCCTGTTCACGAGAGAACCTAGAGGTATCTGATATTGTATGCATAGTGTAATTGAATGTATTTTACAATACCGAGTGCGAGTCAGCCCACAGGGGTGCGATCGATTTTCAAAGCGCAATTTCTCCACAACGAGGAGAGTGCGAGCGCCAACTGATACTTCTCAGGAAAGCTCTCGATGAGATATTTCCACAACCGCCCTTTTCGACAGCGGTAACCTCATGGTTGTGGCGATATTGCGCTTTGACAATCGTTCGCACTCCCGTGCGCTGACTCGCAACCTTACGGTAGCTCGGAAGAGCCCTCTTCGTTGTAGGAGTGCAGACGACGGCTCGGTGCACACCATGTTGTGCTAGAACCTATCTACATCTCTGATAACATCGCTGATACTCGGGAGAGCTAGCACCAAATTTATGTGGGTACAGTGTAGGTAGACATGCAAGATTGCTGTTGTACTGCTTGTGGTGTGTACAACAATTGCTGGCTTTGTAGCGGCGGCAAATGGGTGATATGCTCACAAACGGCGCAGTACGCGGTGACACCACACAAGAGCGGGGGAAAGCAAGATCCCGCTTGTTCTTGAAACAAGAGATTGGGTAACGTCTGTCTACAGCACTACCGTCACACGAAAAGACGCCTTCATGCTTTTCGTTGCCATAACAGCGGTTTACTTGCTTGTCGTGTGTTGCCATAACAGCGGCTTACCCTAGATGGGTCGTGTATTTTGGTGTAAGCGTGTGTACTGATGTTGCCGCTGACGTCCCCATGTGTCCGTTGGGCGGCAATCCTACTCTGCCCCCCCATCCCTGCTGCACGACTGCAGTAAATACCTCTCATGCATCGCAGCCCCAACATCTGTGACGACTTCACAGAATGTACCGCTCTGCAAGGGCACCAACAAGTCTCGCTCGCTGACTTCGGGAACTGCTCCTCAGTACTTGAATTCCCAAAAGACACTACATCACCACAACGCGGGTCGGAAGCACCGCCTCTTTCCTGCTGCTGCACCGCTTAACCCCTGTGTTCCACAGGACCTAGCGAATGCTGGATGGTGTAGACACACAAAAGAGGGTGAGCAGCACCCATGCTACATACATCGCTCAAGGTTGAACGAGCCTGGGAGCGGGTGAAGCTCAGAGGCGGAGCTACAATATCGCGCTTTGATGGGCCCACGCATACCGCACGTGGCGGTCGAGGGGGTATGTATGCATCACCCGAACATATCGCCCGCAACGGTAAAATGCACGACAGGCAACAGCACTCAAGACTGCGACGGACATGCCGGGACCCACGGCCAAGCAAGCCCCGCGATGTTTACGGTCATCATGCCATCATTGATCGTGCCGAACTGCTTGCAGCAACAATTGATGCCTTACCCCGCCAGTCTAATTTTGAACGGAATGATACTAATCCTTCCGCGTTTGCGTTCTAAACATGAGCTGCGTTTGCACCTGGAAATAGTACTCATCGTGTTCCAGGGCCAGCAGGTTGAACCGCGCCCGCTTCTTGGACCTCTTGGCATCCGTCGTGAAGCTCCATGGCTCCTCCATCGCCGGCTATCGTGCGTGTTTTTGCATACTCTTTCCCCCTCTCTGCAGGTCAAGCAGAGGAGGGGGGAGGAAATGAAGCCTCCCCTGTCGAGAATTCGACGTGCAGGAGTTCCATCCGTCGAAGTGCCGACGATATTACACGATGTATCGCGATTTCACCACACAAACACAGCAGGACAGCAGCGAGTACAGCAGGCCAAGAGGCCAAGAGAGCGATCCCACAGGAGGGACAGCAAGGCACTGTGATGCCGAAGCACAAGAAGGAAAAAGCAGGCCCTGGGATGAGGCACCAGCCTCTAGCCACACAGGTAGGCGACGGAAGGCGGATTATTTGACAAGAGCTTTTTTCGGTGGAGGGCGGCGCGGCGCACCTTAGCGTTGTACATACCAGCGCTGGTAGATCTCCTACGACGACACACTACGGACTGCCGTCTTGGTTGTCTTCGCGAGCTACGCATGAACGGGTTTAGGATGCCAACGGCCGGAATCACAGCTTTCTGTCTCATGTAGCATACCACGTGCAAAGGCTGCCAGCAGCAGGATCGAAAATGTTGGTGGTTGTGCCGCCGCAAGCATTGTGGCATGAGATGGGAACCCGCCCGACAGTTTTCAAGGTCAAAGCAGTCTCGTGAGAGCAATGGGCGTTTGCCACCAACGTCTGAGGGTGTTTTGATAGTCTAGCATTGATCGTAACCGCGCTCTGGGGCAGTAGGCATCAGACCCTGCTGCTGAAGCCAGTGGTAAGCAGGTGGACAAGTGGACCGCCAGAAAGCTGACAGTCCCGCCTTCGCCATCCGCAAACACGCGCGTTTGAGGTTGTACGCATACGGCGATTGTACCCAAATATTTCGGCCAGCAACGCGTCACAGGCTGACTCATGGCATAAGGCCTCTAGTGTTGGCTCGACAGCGGCCCCGTATGTACATGGTTCAGCCACGTGACTTCATGCTGGCTTGTACCAGCGGTTGCTCCGCACCGTGTAGTGGGACGTGCGGTTTGCGGTTGAACCTCGGGTACTGCCAGCTGCCAACATCCCATGGGAAGTACCGCGGAGGAGGCTCCGAACGAACGACAATGATTAATATGCGCTCAAATATTTTTTTGGCTTTCGGGCGCTTTCGACCCCCGTACAAACGATGTCGATGACAGCAGTATTTTCTGTGGGGGGAGGTGGTAAAAATCCAACGTGTCGCGTCAGTGTCTCTACTCTCCCGGTGGCGCACGTGCTGCGTTTGTGCCGGCCCTGCTCAACCTCATTGTCCCGCAACCCCTGTCATCGCACACACACAGAACGAGAGAGAGAAATACGTCGACCCTTAGCAGCGTTTTCTGTTTCAAACGTATTGAGCTTGACGTAGTCTCATTGGTTCAGCCGGCTTGTAACACGGTCCATGCCAACAAATAGAAACACGAGAACATGAACCGTAACGCCCGTCGGGATACCGGTCCAAGAGACGAAGAATTTCAGCCGAATATTTTGAAACCATGGGCGGCAGGGTTGACGACATGCATGCCAACAACCAATCATCGTTTCCCGCGCAACTTCTCTAACGAAAACAAAACCACACTTCGGGGGCCGGGCGATGCAGATTGCTCTCGACGGGAAGCTTCAAGACAAAGGAAAGAATAAGACGGTCGTGGCCGGCAGCAAGAGGTCCAAGAGGGCGGCCGCGGCCAAAGCTAGAAGCAACGGCGGCGGCGGCGGCGGCGGCGGCGGCGGCGGCGGCGGCGGCGGCGGCGGCGGAGATGACGATAACGACGATGACGAAGGCGATGGCTACCTTCCCCCCAAGATGACCAAGAGGATTCTTGAGCAGGCCCGCGAGCAGCGGGACGAGATGGAGGAAGAGGAGGAGGAGGCTGAGGCACCCGGGGTGGCGGGTGGGGGGGGACGCGGACTGGTGGGGGACCAGGTATTTAAAATGCTTTCGTACAATGACAGCATTACTACCCGTTCGAGTTATAAACACAGATGTGTGGGAGTCTTTACGGTTTATGTCCAAGGGGTGTGTGGTTTGATGGGTCATGGTGTTGGTGTGTGCGCATGGTCATGTCTGTTGTATTCTCGTCTCCAAGTTTGGTCGCTTGTAATTAGTATTGGATTTGTTTGGATGAGACCTCCTGTCCCGCCAGGAGGACCGCGCTTTCTGATATGGTGCCGCGCTGGTTCGATCAGCGCGGCACCCCCCCAGAAAATGATCGAACAGTGGAAAATAAAACAAGTTGAGTGGTGGGATGATGGCCTCTGTTCTTTGATTACTCTCTCTCCACCTTTCCCACGCTTTTGTGGGGGAAACCAGCAAGATCTACACGCTCGATCATTCTCAGTAATTTTTGGGTTCTGCAGCTGAGGATATATTCGTGCCGAAACTCGTCCCTTCTGTGGGCTGGCTGCCGATTTTTCTGTTGTATTCTCGTCGCCAAGTTGGGATAACTTCTAAGGAAGAATTGGAATTGTTTGGATGAGGCCCCCTGTCCCGTCACAGCACCTATACCCAAACTTCGTTCCGCGCACTCTATATATCGTCTATGGGCTATATGAGCCGCCTGACAATACCTCCATCCTAGAGATGGCGAACCCAAACTGATTATCCGGTGGGCGTCCCCATACCACACGCGCTAAATGCTTCCGTGAAACCTTCGCTCAACGGCAACCTATCCGCCTGGTCACGGGCACGGTCCAACTTCCGCCGTTTACATTTTTCGCCGGGGCCACTCGTCTGCCCGACATAGCCCCTCGCCGCCGATTCGGTTTTCCAACCACCTCCGAGCTTGATAAATTCGTCTACTGCCGTACCGGCCAGAGACTCGCGGAGGAAACCTCCAACCCGAAACGAAAGCATTGTAAAAGTGAGCCTGTTTCCTTCCGGGGGGTCGGTAGGGAGCCTCCCTGCTGCTCAGAGGGCGTACTGGCGTACGAGCTGGAAACGAAGGTTGCTCCGCTGCGGGGACTCCGGTCACATGCACAAGCTATGGAACAAGATATAGACGTCAAGCGGGGGACGGCAGACTCCCGTTCCCCGCGCTTGATGTCTATATCTTGGTCCGTAGTGTGTACGTATGACGAGAGTCCCAGCAATGGAGCAACACTTCGTTGCCAGCTCGTCCGCCAGTACGCCCACCTCTGAGCAGCTGGGAGGCTTGCCACCCGACTCCCCGAAAGGAAACATGACGCGATCGCCATGTACATTTGGCTCGCTGCCCTCGAGTCCCACCACCACCACCGCCACGCACGGCAGGTCCACCAACGGCGGTGCAGGGTTGACACACCGTGGCCGTAGAAAGGTCCGGCTGCACTGGGGCCGCCGGTGGCGGCCCCGCCCCGGCCCCGGCCCCTACCGCGGCTTGAAGACACGGCCGCCGAAGCACCCGATCGCGTCCATCCTGACATATCTCTCTGTTCTTTGGTTACTCTCCTCTCTCCACCTTTGCCACGCTTTTGCGGCGGAAACAAAGAATGATCGACAAGCTCGTTCACATTCTCAGTAATTTGTGGGGGCCTGCAGCTGGGGATAGATTCGTGCCTTCCCTTCTGTGGGCTCCCATTTTTTGCTCTGGGTTCGCGTGTTGGTTTGGATCCCGCTTGTGGTTTGATGGGTCATGACGTGGGTTGTAATGTGTGGTCAAGGCTCTGGGTTCACCTGTTGGACAGGTTGCCGTCGGATATGCCGTCCGTTTCTTGTGTTCGGCTTGTCTGTTGCCCGACTAGGGCAGTGGCAAAGTCTTACGACCGTTTTTTTTTTTTTATTTACGCTACAAAATTGCTTTTGTGTATGCGACTTGTTGGCGCATCTTTGTCTGGGCGATCGTTGGTCAGTCTTGCTTTGTTGCGTTGTGTTCATATCCTGATTTCAGAAGTGAAAGAGAGGGATGGAGCGAAACGAGCAGCTAGTCGGAGCAAGAACGGGAAGGGCATGAGAGACCTGACCTGCTGATGAGTTGGCTAGAGATCAGATGGTCTTCTTGGCCACTTTTGCCTGTGATGGGGATGATTCGCAGAGGAAGGTGGCGTGGGATGTGGAAATCAGTAGCCTTTGTGTGGAGTGTTGCGTGTCCTACAACGTGAATGGTTAACAGGGGATGCGGGTGACGGGGTTTGATCGTCCTGCGGGGCTGATTCCCCAATGGCTTTGACAAGAAGGTAACATGGGAATATCATCAGTTTGGGAGCACGCCATTCGCTCGAATGGCTGGTGTCCTCTCGTGCGTCTGGTCTCGGTATGATCCACGGGCAACTACTGAGCCGTGAACAAAACGAAAACAACACCACCACCGCCTGGCGTAAGATACGCCCCATGTTCTCGCAGTCTTTCCCGACGTGTCTCGTCTCACGTATACAACTACCCTTGCTTCATGCGCCTCCGCTCCCGTGCCCTGCAGCGGTTTTCCTTCGCGACCCCGGTTCCCGGTGGCTCTCCCGGTGGGTTAAGACAAGACGACAGCGATGATGATGATGATGACGATGATGAGGAGGAAGAAGAGTATGAGGAAGGGCTTGCGGATGAGGTCGCGATGTCGGAGGCGGAGGAGAGGCTAGTCTCAAGCTTCATGAACGCTGGTGAGAGCTGGTGTAATTGTATTTTTATGTACCTTGAGCTGTGTGTCTTGTCGTATCTGGTCGTTGCTTCACATTGCTTTGTTGCGCTTTCGATCTCTCTTTGCTTGTCTGTCTGTCTGTCTGTCTGTCTGTCTGTCTGTCTGTCTGTCTGTCTGTCTGTCTGTCTGTCTGTCTGTCTGTCTGTCTGTCTGTCTGTCTGTCTGTCTGTCTGTCTGTCTGTCTGTCTGTCTGTCTGTCTGTCTGTCTGTCTGTCTGTCTGTCTGTCTCTCTCTCTCTCTCTCTCTCTCTCTGTCTCTCTCTCTCTCTCTCCCTCTCTCTCTCTCTGTCACACACACAAACTCTCACTCTCTTGCTGCCTCATCGAGCGTGTAACTTGTCTGTTTGGTTCTTCGCTGGGCGTTTTGGCGACTTCGTGCGTCAAGGATTCCGAGTAGACCTTTCGACCGTATTGGAGCATAGCCAAGTACCTTGCATCGACAAGCACGCCCATGCCTATTTTCTTGTTTCTGTCTTCATCCGACGTTTGCGGTACAGGTTGAAGAATGTTCACGGGTTCGTGTGTGTGTGTGTGTGTGTGTGTGTGTGTGTCCGGTTTTGCTGCATTTCGTTACATACCGACCAAAACTCACGTGTGTTAAGTCACAGAATGTTCTAGTCAGCGGTCTAGTGTAAACACAACAATGCGTGGCCTATTTAGTGGTACAACAGCAACAGCAACAACAATGCTGGCTAGACGGCGTTGTGTGGTCTGAGCCTAAGAAAATCGCGGAGCAGTCGTGGCACGATCGTTACCGATGATATGAGTGCCTCCACCGGCCGCTCTAGCAATAGCAACACCCACGCGCTTGTAGCAACCATCCACACGCCTGATGATGGTTCGCGGCTGCGACGCAATTGCCGTCGCTATCCTCCCCCGTCACCCTGTCTCTTGGTGGGTCGAACATGCCATGTTTCAGACCATACTTCAGCAGATTTATTTTGACAATTCTACGACCTGGTTTCGGCCTTGCCCTGTCTGTTGTCCTCAACCCTATCGTGTGTGGTGCGGTTCCGGGGTGTGCTAATTTAGCGCCGTTCCAACGGAGATCCCTCGCGGACATCATCATGGAGAAGATCAGGGAGAAGGAGGAGGGCGAGACCAGGGCGGCGGGGATGGGCGGGGGCGGCGACGAGGACGAGGACGGTATGCCAAGACTGCCTCCAAAGGTTAGTGCAAACGCTCAACACTGCTATCTCAGGACGAACGCACCGAGAAGGCCTAGCCAAGGCCCCTCATGCGCGTTCACTTTTAAAGAGGGTTTCATCCTCTGCAGGTGGTGCAATCCCCTACCAACAGCGAAAGTCGGACCAAACCGTTTGGTGAAGGATCATGTGCTCTGGCATTTATCGCTATGATCATGGATGCTAACGACAAGTCCACAAATCATGGCATCAAATCTTTCACCCTATTCAGTGACTGCGCGCAAGGGCATCGAAGTGCATGTCGCAGGAGCGGGGACAAGCTCAAGCGTAACAAACGGCTAGACCCGAAGCAGCCCTGTAGAGCACCCGAAGCAGCCCTGTAGAGCACCTTTTACCAGATCGAGAATACAAAAAACAATTCGATTCAGGCAAGCCCGATCCCTGACTTCAATTCTACGGGGCTTTCGAGAAGATGTGCCGAGTCGCAATCGATCAACCGATCACATCGATGCAATATCTTGTCTTTTTAATTTGGAACAACCAAATCAATGCACTGTTTGGCCAGAAGTGTTGATGCAATTTGCGATCAATCCATCGAACGTCAGGTTGTCGAGGTGTACGGGGCTATCGGGAAGATGCTGAAATCGTACACCGCAGGGAAGCTCCCCAAGGCGTTCAAGATCATCCCTTCGCTCACAAATTGGGAGCAGGTAAATATAAAGTTTTCCGAGTTTCGGCGTTTTTTTGTTTCCGTTGATATCGGTGTGGTGTTGTCGTCGATTTCGTGGGGCCGAGGATGTTAAACGTAATGGTTGGTCTTGATGGTATGTTTACGACCTGACGTTACCAATGTTGACGTCACGAAAGAACGCAAACAAAGATGCGGACAAAACGTGAGTACTTCGACAGGCTGACTCTCTGAACAACCCTAGACAAAAGATGCCTTTCATCACCCGCCACCTATACTGTCACAGGTAGTGTTTTAATTTCATCTATTGACGTCCATCATGTCCATATTGCTGTCGTACACCGGTGGCAGGAGGAAGTAACTTTTTTTTTTTTATTTTGAGTCACGGAGCGCGAAATCGTGACCTTGTTTCTCTTCATCCCAGGAGGGAAAAAAATGGGTGTCAGTATCGGGTTGTTCCAACGCGATGCAGGGACCCAAGTTTGATTTCGGCCTCCTTTTCGATCAGAACGAGGTCTGTTGAGCACCGATTGACGATCTGCTGGCTTCTGGGGAGGAAGAAAAAACAGAGCACTCTTCGTCACGTCACACCGGCGTGATAAGTAAAACGAAATAGATGGGGGAGTCATTGCCATCACGGCAGGAGCAACACTAGTGCATCGGTGTCAGCTACCACTGTTCATTTTTGCTGGTGGCAGTGCTGTTTGATGCCTACCGTATCATTTAGCGCTACGCTGAGGGCGAGGATTTGTGTGTGTTCCTCCGCCGTTGATGTGTAGTATTTCAAACTTCCGGCGGGAGCGGATGGACCAGTCTTAGAAGGTCCGTTCGAATGCCGATGTATCGGCATCGAGTATATATTCCTCAAGTTAGGACTTGCGCGGTCTGGGTTGCTGCGTTGCTGCTTGGAATCAGCGTGTCTCACGCCTCGCACAGCGTCGCAGCTAGACTACTGTCAGGTATTGAATCGTACCCCGCGGCTCATTTTCCCTCCCTTCTACAACATATATCACATTTGTTGCCTCTCTTCACCAACATACTCAAAAAGGGAGCGTTTTTTTTATATCAATCATCGTCCATCATCTCCATGTTGCTGTCGAACACCGGTGGCACGCGAAGAACCCTTTATTATTTAATGTATCGATGTTTTTGCCTCTCTTCACTACAAACTAGGCAGCGTGTTAATAATATCAAACATCGTCCAATCTCTGTGTTGATGTGGTACGCCTGCCCCGCCCATCTTGGACGTTCTCCCGCCCCCCACAGGTGCTGTGGTTGACCAGACCCGAGCAATGGTCGAGCCACGCCATGCTCGCAGCTACCAAGATCTTCGCGTCCAACTTCAACGCGAAGATGGCGCAGAGATTCTACAACGTCTTCCTCTTGGTGAGAAAGCGCAACATGTGTGCAGGCATCAATCGCTTATTTTCCGAAACGGCAGGTTGGTGACGGCGCCTTGGTACGTGTCGTTGGCAGTCAGGTCGTTTTCTTTCAATACAGTATTGTTTTGTTCGCATTTTTTTGTTGATTTTTTGGAAGGTAGCTGTTCACGCCGATGGCTCAACACTCCTTAGCTATTACTTGCTGGTTCAGGCATTGTCACGACGTGCTAATGGCATTTCGTACAGAATCGTTCGGACTTTCAGTATATCTATACCTCTTGTTGCGATCTCTTGATAGAGGGGTTAGAGGTCCACACCGACCGGACGGGTGCCACGGCGTTTCATTGGTGGAGGGTTGCATAGAAGGCGCGCCGCAGGGATGCTGTACAGCACTGTCGCCTGCAGTGATATCGCTGCCAGCAATGGTAGTTCTTGAGAGTTGATGCCTAGTTGTCGCCTGGAGCCAGAATCACGGCCAGCAATGATACCTTGTAAATGATGCCTAATGCCGCCTGCAGCGATAATCACTGCCAGCAGTTTTACTCCCTAAAACTGATGTGGCGTTACTACTCGTTCAGGAGGCTTGCCGAACGGACATCCTGGAGAACCGACGGCTGAACTACCATCTCTACGAAGCTCTCCGCAAGTCGGTTTACAAGCCAGCGGCGTTTTACAAGGGGATGCTTCTACCTTTGGCTTCCGCGGGGGACTGCACCCTCAGGGAAGCAGCCATCTTCGCCAGCGTCCTTTCGAGAGTGAGTGCGCGATGACATGACCGCTACCTTCCTCAGTCTTTGATACAGTGTTGTGTCTACGTCTACAAGATTGCTGAAATGAGTTGTTTCACTCTACTAAGAAGTGAGGGTCGAGTGCCCCATGATTGACGGCCACTTTCCCCAGTCTTGAAACAGAGGGTTGTGTCTACAAGATTGCCGAGTTGTGTCATGCTACAGGGTGGAGACCATTGTCTCCTGAGACTTTGTAAATCTCCAGCAGCGCCCGAGCTAAGTGAGCCTCGAGTGCGCGATGATATGGCCACCTTCCCCAGTCTTGACAAAACAGTGTTGTATCTACAAGACTGCTGACTTGTGTCACTCTATACAACGGTAAGTGTTCACTTCGTTGCTTGGAAAATCAGTTTTTCGTAGGGCAAACGATGAAGAAAGCCTCGTGTGAGCACCAACGTATGCGTACGAGACATGACGATAGCTCTCGGTGATACGAAGCGCCGATTCTGGGTCCAGGCTCAACTCTAGCAATTTGGGGCGACAGCATAGTGCTGACTTCGTGCAGGAAGCCATTTTTTTTTGCGGCAAATTCTGAAGAAAGCCTCCTGTGAGCATCGGATCAAACACAAAATTCCCGTGATCTGAACCGCCGATTCTTGGTCTGGGTTCAAATCCCGTGGTTTGGGCAGACAACATGGCCTATCATTATGGGATGCACTGCTCAGGTTATTTTTTTATACATTGTTGACTCTGAACCTGCAGTTCTAGGCCACTGTGGGCGCAGATGAACGAGTCCAAACCCCTGCCGGATCATCATGAGTTTTTTTTATCCCTTCGGCTTGCCTTCACGCAAACTCTGATCGGTTTTTCCTCTTGGACCCCAACGCGGGAGGGCTCTGGACTCAAAAGCGCGAGAGTCACATGCCTCAAATCTTGGACGTGCATGTTTCTTTGTGTGAGGTTGTCCTCCTCTCCGATCCCTCACATGAAACCTACCACATATTACCGGGCGGCATCAGACAGACGCACAGCCGTTGGTACGTATTGCTGATTTCGGCATTATGGTCAGCGCAGCGACCTACGCACATCCCAGGGTCGGGTCAAGTTTTGTAACAGTTTCCCCGCCTTCGCCCTACGCAGAAATGAACGTCATCGTCAACTAGAACTCCTCCGATAGCGTTTTTGTTCCGTACAACAGGCGTTGATGATCATGGCCGCTATTTATGACAAAGAATCGTTGTTGAATAGAGTTTCATGACGCGACAAATTTCCTTGCCATCCATCCCCCAGGTGACGATTCCGGCGAACCACTCCGCGGTAGCGTTGCTCAAGCTGGCGCAGCTTCCGTACAACGGCGCCACGTCTCTCTTCATCCGTGTGCTGCTCAACAAGAAGTACGCGCTCCCGTACAAGGTGTGTCATCTTAGCCGCTTTGCTATGAATTGCACCGGGTTGGACGCAATTGATGCTCGAACATCTGGAACAGGAAAGCTGCACCGAATCGACAAGGAGTCACGTTTGCTTTATACCAGCAGCTTTGCACTACTTTTGGCACACCGCATGAATGGTACACAGAGTGCACCATTTCATTCGCGAGGAGAAACACCAGCATCAAACTTGACGCAACAATGTTCAAGCAGACACCTACGGTGTCCGTTCCTCACGGCGCTACAATATCGCATAGGGAGTTGTTGCGAGCTACAATGTTACACCACATCCAACCATGAGCTGTTGAATACGGCGCGATTTGCAGGTTATCGACTCTCTGGTCGACCACTTCATGACCTTCACCACGGAAACCCGAGTCCTTCCCGTTCTGTGGCATCAGAGCCTGCTCGTCTTCGCGCAGCGGTATCGAGGAGATATCACCCGCGCCGACAAGGACCGACTTAAAGAGGTATGTCGTCGATTCTTTTGGTTGCATCGCGGTAGTGGTCCCGATATGGTGCCCGTCGAATCATGCCGCGTATGCCGGTGAACTCGGTTGACACAGATAGAACATTATTCAAGCTCTGTTTCATACTCTGAATAACGCTGGGTGCCCGATGCAATGCCGGTTAAATCGGCGTAACGCGTACCGGGTTTATGTCGGGACCAACACTATGGTGTGGTTGTCTGGTGGTGTCAGCGAGGTGGTTTGATTGCGTTTTCATGTTTTCATGCAACACACGGCCGAGGGTGCTGGTCTCTCGCTTCCGCTTGGTTGCAGCTGCTGAAAAGCCAACAATAGCAATGGTCAAAACCTACTCAAGAGATGCCCCTGCACCGCGTGTTTCAGCCCTTATTTTCACATCGGATGCGTAGTTCTGCAACGAAGCCTCGAACCCTGAAATTGATATTGATTGTATTTGGCCCACTCCCTTGCTGTCTGTTTCGTCTTCCTTGTTCCAGCTACTGAAAGCCCAACAGCACCACCAAATTACACCAGAGGTGCGACGGCAGCTCTTCATGGGCAGCTGCAGAGGGGAGCCCAAAGGCAGCCTCGCGTCCACCCCGCGATCAACGAACGATGCCATGGCGACGGGATGACGATATTCATTCTTGGTTCGAGGGGCGAGCGTTCGGCCGATGAACCAAGCGTAGAATACTTGCAGACGTTTTTTTCTGTATGCTTGATTGAGCAACCGAAAGGGCAGCTGGCATGATCAGGGAACGGGGCGAATACTAAAATCGATCGCATTGAATGCAGTTTGCGAGATATGTTGAATTGTGGCTACTGAATTTCACGTCGAACTTCGTACTGTTGGTAGAGCCACCCCGTTGTCACCCGGTGTAACCAACTTTACGGGCGAACATGCCGAAACGGTAACTGCACGAATAGCGGCAGATGGACTATGTTGGGTGTTTTCTGGTAGTGGAACGAAGCACCACAGCAGCATGTGCCTCGCGAAGGCAGTGAAAGCAGCAGCACTGGAAGTCAATATGGGGTCACTGTCTATTTGTAGGCGATGGAGTATGCTTCTGAAACGGCGCCGAAGAAGTGTTGGTTGTGGCATGTCCGCTTCCGGCCAATGAAGCGGATCCCAGCAGTCTTGCTAGGGTTGGAATATCGCCAAGAAAAGATTCACATGCGGTGGAATGCGCATTTTTTTCAAGGGGAATTTTTATCCACCGTCGGGGCACCGGACCCTTCCGCAGAGTCCTGGAGCATTCCAGCGTCGATAGTGGCTCGCGGCATGCCGTTGTGGGAAACGGACCGTAGAGACGTTAGCTACGTCGGCCGCAGCACGAGTGGACTACAATACGCCGTTGCGCATGCTTTGGTCTAAACAGCACCCTCCGAGGTTGTGTGTGTGCGAGAGGTGATGCGGACACCAAGAGCCGGTGATATACTCTGGCAGCACTCGGATCGACTCTCGTGCACGGCTGAATATCCGCAACCAATTTTCAGAGAGACCCCGCGCACGGTGGATCAGCCCAGACACGCAGATCAGAATTCCCAAGCTCTGCGTACAGCTTGGCGCTCTCTTGACCAAAGTCTTGTCTTTTCCGTGTCGTTCAGTCGCATAGTTTGCCCGATCGGGTCTCAAAATGCGTTCTCGATTTACGGCGCACGTCTGGCGACAGCCGAGGCACAAATCGGTCGGGAATCGAGAATTATCAGTCCTCCCGGAGTTTCTCGAGCTTCCGCCATCTGCAGCGGGAAACAGTAATCCTGTTGTTTCGCCCTCTCAGTGAGGCGGTTGAACAGGCAGAGAGGGTCCTCTTCGAAAAAATACATGTTGTAGGCAGGCAAGAGAAGTTTCTGACGCAGGGGGCATGCGCGGAGGTGGCAATACCACATGAATGAAATGAGTATACCTGTGGAACCTCCCAGACGACGACGACGACAACGAAAGCAGCTGATGAAGCCGGGAATCTTCACCGTATCATAGGAACAGCCAAATGCGTCAAATCTCTGGAGCTCTGGGACAGGCAGACCCACTTTCCTAGTTGTATCTACCCCACTGATGGGGTAGACAAGGTTAAGGACCCCACCAGTGGGATATCCCTTTACAACCTATACAAGGCTCCGATCGACACACAAGTACCTGCAGGAGCTTGTGGTCGATGCACACACAGTGCACAGCAACGGGCAGCACCTGTGGCCGCGAACAGGTCAGGAAGTCCCGCGGCATAGCGCCAAACACCTGACATGGGTAACGAACACTCCCTCCTATTTCTTACAGGCAGACTCCCCTTAGCTACACAAAGAGACCCTGTGGCTGGAAGACTCCAATCGACACACAAACGCCGGTGGGAGTGTGTGGAACACGCACACACAGCACATAGCAGCTGGCAACTGGTGAGGCGACCAGCACATGAAGTATTCCCGCCACACAGCTTTACACACACACAGTGGGAACCATACACTTTCTTCCTCATTGGTGGGTTACATAGCTTACCCCACCAGCTGTATGTCGTCATACAAGACTCCAGTCGACACAGGACACGCTCAACTGTGTTGCTGGGGTGTAGGGCTATCGTATGACCCATAGTTGAGGCCAAAGGGTTCCGTTCAGGCGCTACCACGGCCGGCGGGGTAAACTACGAATTGAATGTGCCCCACCGGTGGGGGACTTGTGGCAGAATAGGGCACCCCCTGGATACGGGTAAATATTCACCAACGGGCACCTCCCCGGGCTAACGGGCACTCCCCCCCCCCTTCGTGACGTGTGTCTTGGTTGCTGTGTTGCCATGGTGCAGAGCTGCTGTATGTTGTGTGTTGTGCGTGCATCAACTTTACGCTTCTACTGTACGGTTCTTGTCCGGCCATCGAAGCCTTGTGTGCAGTGGTGCGAGGTTCATGGTGGTGGACACAAGTCCCCTGAATAAGGGTAAATATTCTCAAACGGGTCCTCCCAGGGCTAACGGGCACTCCCCCCCCCGCAACGGACACCCCACCCAGACTAACGGGCACCACTCCCGACTAACGGACACTCCCGACAAATCGGCACTCCCCCCAACTAACGGGTACTCCCCCCCCCATGCAGGCCCCCAAGGTGGTTCGGGGCACCCCCGCTCGACCAGTAGCACTCCCCCGTCAACAACGGGCACCCCCCCCTCCATTGTGGGCACTCCCCTGTGCTTACGCGCACCTCTTGGCGCCGTGTTTGGACGAAGGGAACGATTCAAGATACACTGAATTTCCTGGACAGATGCACTGTATTCCCTGGTTACATACAAAGTATTCATTGATCAGATAGGCTAAATAATGTATTCTCTCGTCAGGTACACGGTATTCCCTCGGTATTCTCACTTTTTCTTCTCATGAAATTCGCTGTAGTCCCTGATCAGAATCACTATGTTCCCTGACCATATTCACTGTAGTATTGTACCCCCTCTTCATTTTCACTGCAATCCGAAGTCAGATTCACTGTATTCCCTCATTCGATTTACTGTATTCCCTCACTAGATACGCTGGATTCCCTCATCAGGCTGCTCACTGTTTTCCCATTTTCGGATACATACAACTGTATTCGCTGGTCATATAAGTTGGTATCCGCTTATGAGATTCACTTTATTCCCTGGCCAGATTCACTGCGTTCCCTAATCCAATTCACTGTATTCTCTCTACATGTTCACTTCATTCCCTCATCATATTCACTTTATCCCGACATCAAATACGTGCTTCCTTTTTCAAGTTCGCTGTTTTCCCATTGTCGAATACATGCACTTTATATGCTGATCACATACCCTGTACGCCCTGAGCAGATACGCCGGGGGTGCCCCAAACACCCGACGGGGATGCCCGTAATAGTCGGGGGTAGTGCCCATAAATGCTGGGGGGTGCCTTTCAGTCTGAGGTGGTGACCGTTAGTCGGGGGCAGTGCCCGTTCTGAGGGTGGAGTGGCCGTTGTGGGGGGGAACCTGGTAATGCAATATTGATGGACGTACAGCAGTCGTACTTGTAGTAGCGGCTTCAGTAAACGAAGAATATATCACGTCGTCATACATACTCGAACAGACGGCGACTAACGGACACCGCGCATCCAAATGCGGAGGACATGGTGCATGCACGGAACCGCACGACAACACACGAACTGTTTTCCAATGTATTTACCTCGTCGAAGTTCATACGCATGCGATGCATCTCTCGCGCACAGCACAGCAGCAGTGGATGTTCTACTTGTAGACGGGGTGGTGGGGAAGGCAACGTTTGCGCGTGACTTGCGTGGGGCTGTGCGGAGGGATTTGTTGACTTGTTCCCCACCGCGACTGCTGCTGCTGCGGTGTGTGTGCTGTGTGCTGTGTACTGCGTGGTGTACGCTGTGTGTTAATGAACAGCACTCTCTAACCATGACGCTTGTGCTTCGATTGGAGTCTTGTACAGCGAGGTGGGTGTTTAACTTATCCACCACACCGGACGGTGGGGCATACTATGCGTTGTTCACCCCACCGACCGTGACACCAGCAAACCTTCATCGTTCGGCCTCACCATGGGTCCTACAATAGCCCTGCAAACGCAGCAATACATTCGTACATGTCTTGTGTCAATTGGAGTGTTGCGGGGGCAGATCCAGCAGTGGGTCCCTGGTGGTGTTCAACGAAGCCTTCTGCAAGAAAATAGAAGGCAGTGTTCGCTACCCACGTCAGGTGTTTGGCGCTATGCCTCGGGACTTCCTGACCTGTTCGCGGCCCCAGGTGCTGCCTGCTGCTGTGCGCGCTGTGCGTGCATCGATCACAAACTCCTGCAGGTACTTGTGTGTCGATCGGAGCCTTGTCGAGGGAGATCCAGCTGGTGGGGTCTATATCGTTATCTACCCCATCAGTGGGGTAACGGCGTATGTTCCCCACCAACCGTGGCACCGCCAAAACTGTGTGTTTCGGCCTCACGATGACCGCTGCAACGCCGCAACACATGTGTTTAAGTCCTGTGCTGATTGGAGTCTTGGAGAGCGAGCTACAGGTGGTGGGGTGTTTAGCCGTGCCGTTTTTTATACCATTCCCCAACGCCCCCCAACGAATTTATACATACTGCGTTCCAAGGATTGGTCCTGATGACATCGTTGCGGTTGTTCGAAGGCGCCACAGACCGACCAGCAGCGGGAGCCGTAGTCGGATCCTGGAAAAATCCATAGTCCACACGGCAGGCCGGGGCGGATCCAGCCGGACGGACCGCACGGGGGAGTCGTGGTGCGGTTCAAGCATGTTACTCGGGGGGGATATGGAATTTCAAGACGCTGCTGCTCGTCTCGGTGACGCGACCGAGTCGGAGACGGCCACACGTAGTAGAGGGTGTCATAGCGGCGTACAATAAAACAAGAGCGGGACGAGGTTTTACGTCCCTTTTACACCGCTTTTTTATTTTTCTCGTTGGCATGCAAGACTACTATAGGGTTGTCACCCGGTTTGGTCAGAACCGGGTAGCCGGACCGGGTAGCCGGACCGGGTACCTGGTTCTGAAATTACCCGGCCGGTTCCAGGTCCACCAATTGATACCCGGGTAATTCGGCTACCCGGGTACCCGGTTGTTTCGATGCACGGCGCACCCAAAATGCACACACAGCACACAGCACACAGCACACAGCCACCTGCCACCCAGCACGTGCCACCTAACTAGCCACCCCAACGTACGGGTGGCGGGGGCGCTGAAGATTATTCGTTGTTTCCTTTCTTTCGTGTTCGGTCCTGATTTTCGTATACTCTGTTGTGCGTCCTACATATACCATGGCCTTCGGCGCATTTTTTTGTTGCCTGCGGAGGAGGGAGGCGTATTACATAATAACGGCCGTAGCGTAGCCCTTTAAACGAATGTGGGTGTTTTCGTGTCCAAGTAATGTTCACGCGCTTCTCTTTTTCACGAGCGGGGTATGGCGTACGGGGCGGTGGGGGCGCTGCCTCTATTTTTCTACTGTGTTTTCCTTCCGTCTTCAGTAGGTCCTGTTTTTCGTACTTTTTTGTGCGGACGGACGGTATCGCGTTGGGGGGAAATGATGTTCTTTGTCCGGTCCATCTGTATGTTCTTTGTTGGGTAGTTGGCCTGTGTCCACGAGAGGCGCCCGCGCCAGGTCGACCGGTGCGGATATTACAAGGTACTGAGCGGAGACAGGAACGATTTTATATGCAATTGTAGTAGTATGTAGTAGGTGGTTGGTGGCCCAACTGCCGT